TGACAGAAAGGCGCAGGTGACACAGCCCAGCATCACACGCTTGGCGACTTGGATATAGACTCTGCTCTTGTTAACCGACAGGTGTGTAGAGATTGATACTTTGAGATGGTGTGATCTTTCACCAGTGATTTTGTAGCCATTGATGTTATTTGCATTCATCATTATTTTGATGATATTAGATTCTGCTAGACTTAAGAAGATAACTCAGCTCTTTTTTCCTGTGTGAAACAGTTGAGAGTAATCATCAGTATTTTCCATTAATCAATGCATCAGATTTGTTTTTCCATACTTACACATATACATGTAAATCATCAATGTGAAATCATGGTATAAAAAAAAGGCTTGAAAGCTATTGGAGGCATAGAAAATATAAAAAGTATTTAATCCAGCCCTGCATGGTGACACACACCTTTAATTCCAACACTTGGGAGGCAGAGGCAGGTGTTTCTCTGTGAATTCAAGGCCAGCCTGGTCATAATGAAATGTTGAAAGCAATCCTTGTATGTCTGTTATTTGAGGTTTTTTGGTTTTGTTTTAATCTCATTGGATTTTCACACTGGCAGCGTCATAGCCAGTGATACTCATCCATCTGTATCATCATTGGTAATTCTGATCTTTGAGAAGCATGCTAAGAATTTTAAGATACACAATAGTAGGGCCTGAGCATAGTGGCTATTTACCTTAAAGGAATGTTTTCTAAACTTATTTTTATTTTCCTACTAACAGGAAATAAATCTCTTTTTAAATATATGTTTATTATACATTTCATTTCCCACAAAATCAGTACATTTTTCCCCTAAATGAATAAATCTTTTGGAACCTTGTGTGTGATCAGGAGTGAAGACCAGCATTCATATATTTAAGAGTTTTTGGTTTTTAATTTAGAAGGTCGATGTATTTTACTTCAAATGGAAGCTGTAGGCCCAGAGGGTAAAAGAAATCAGAGAAGCCACTTCCCTTTCACATGAGCCTGCCTGACATGCCCCCAGTACGGCTGAGAAATAGACTTTTCATGTATTCTTACACTTTTAAGTACTTATTTTTTATTTTATGTGTGTCGGTGTTTTGCCCTTCGTCCCAGCCTGAAAATCAAATTTCTAATGCTGGGGCTGAAGAGTTGGGTCAGCAGTTAAGAGCACAGACTGTTCTTCCAGAAGACCTGGGTTCAATTCCCAGCACCCACATGGCAGGCAGCTCACAACCTTCTGTAACTTTAGCTCCTCTGTCTCTGACAATCTCCTCTGTCTCCCCTAGGAACCAGACACTGAAGTACACAGACATTTATGCAGGAAAATGCCCATGTGCAAAAAATACAAATAAATTTAAATTTTTTAAATTCTAATGCTATTTAATAAGAACAAAACTATACATAAATTAAATTACCAAAAAAGAAATTAACTGAATTACCAGATTTGCTGATTATATGAGATGAATAAACTTTGCTTGTTTTGTACTTTTTAAAGTATTTAGGACAAAGTAAACTCTGAAAAATGAGGTATTTGTGATCTTATTTAATCAACCTAAACAATTACTTTATGTAGTCTTTGTAAAAGTAACTGTGAAAGCAGCCAGGTAGAATACCTAGCTGCACTTTGATTTTGTGTGTTTATAAACTGAAAATGCCCCAAGCTGAAGTAATGTGCTGTTTTTCCTCACAGGGCGGCAGAAAAGGGAAAAGGAACCCTGAGTCTGACCAGTGTAGGTGATTACGGCAGCCTTGGAGGTCAACACACAGATTTTTCAGAATTCTGCAAAAAATGTGTATATTGCAAAAAATGTGTAACTGCTAAACTGCAGTTTTTGTTGAAGGAACTAAAAGTAACTAGCTCACTCATAGTCTACAATTTTATGTTCTTTTGGCTTAAAGTTAAAAGAAAATATAGAATACCAGCAGAACTTGATTATTGTTTTCTGTCCAAACTTCTTATGACTTTAGTTTTTCATCAGTCAATAAAATTAATTTACTCTTCCACTAATCCGCCTGATCTTTAAAGTCTCCTGAACAGTGTGGTATTGTTATTGCTCAGTTTTCCACACCTTTGTGTGCTGAACCTGACAGGATCGAACCATGAGTAGAAAGAATATGGCTGATGTCCTCAGGTGGTGGTGAGCAAAGAGGAAAAAATAATGACCACATGTTTCCAAGAGTCATCACAAGTATATCACATGTTCCTCAGTGTAAATCGAGAAAGTTTACAAGAGAGGATGCTTACAGGGAGTTTTTCCTGTGTTTTTGTTGAGAAGCATTCTGACCGAAGGAATAAAATCTGGACTAGAAGATTTGCTGAAATTTCCTGGCCTAGCACAGTCAGACACACAACACTGAGAAGGCTCAGTGAGGGAGGTCAGCAAGGGACTCTTGATTGCTGGGAAATTGCTAGAATAATTAACTGCAAATGGGGACTTTTTTCCTTCAATATGTTCAATGATACACAATTATGATTTATTAAAATTTGTCTTTGTCTTTTGAAGTAGATTGCTGAGTGGAAGAAGCAGTGTGTAATGTTAGAAGTGAATACATGCACACTGAGCTTGGCCTCTTGAGCCAATATTACTGAAATACTCTGTGTGTGTGTGTGTGTGTGTGTGTGTGTGTGCGCGCGCGCGCGCGCTTTACAGGTATAAAAACACGCATGTTTTGCCTGAATGTATGTGTGTGCCTGGCACCCGTGGAGGCCAGAAGAGGGCATGAGATCCCCTGGAACTGGAGTTTGGGATGGCTGTGAGCTGCCATGCAGGTTCTGGGAACAGAACCCAGGTCCTCTGCAAGAGCCACAAGTGCTGTTAACCACTGAGCCAGCTCTCTAGCCCCCAAGATTCCCTTTCTTGGCAGTCTTTCTTTTTTATTTTTATTTTTTAATTTACTAAAGCGGTGTGTGCTGTAGCATGCGTGACGAAGTCAGAGAACACCTGGCGTAACTCTTGTCTCCTTCCACCATCGGGGGCCTGGCTGTCAGATTTGGGGTGCTAAGCTTGAGGGCAAGCGTCCCCGGCCCTGAAGCATCCATGGCTCTGTTTCTGGACAGTTTTTGAGAAACAAAACAATTTGAACAGAAATGTGATGAGTTGCCATTGCTTCTCTCTCTGACTTCTTCATTAGGTTCTCTGGGCCTTGTAAAGAGCCGTGGTTATCGTTCCCTGTGCGCCCAGTGCTGCTGTCATGAGGCATGGAGTAGACGCCAAAGCAGTGTTTGGTTGATAAAGAGAATATGCAGGGGAGAGGGAAAATAAAATTAGGAGAAAAGAAAAATGATAAAGTATGGTGAAGGAGTAGAAGCCTGGAAAGTTATTTTATGCTAGGGGTCTAGTCCAGGGCCTCACACACACTTAGGTGAGTAGGAAACACTCTGCTGAGTTACACTGGCCACCCAGGTGGCCTTCATTTTGACTAAAGCATGGATGTTTACACAGGATAGTAATTAGAAAGGTAGGGAAGTAGTGTGCAGATAGCCGACGATCCATCTTGAGCTTCAAATTAGGAAATCGACATAATTTGATAAGTGAAGAAAAACCATGAAAAGTTTACATGAGAGTCCTGTAATCCTGTCCTTTAAGGAAACTGAGTTTAAGACAGGTGTGGTGACACTCGCCTTTAATCCCAGCAGTTGGGGGACAGAGGCAGGAGAATCCCTGTGAGTTTGAGGCCAGCCTGGTCTATATAGCAAGTTCCAGGACAGCCAGAGATACATAATAATAGATCCTGTCTTAAGAGGGGGAAAAGTGAATAGTGAGAAAGAAAAAACTTTGTTTCAGAGACAAGATCTCAAGCCTAAGTGAGAATGAACTGATCCTTTAATAAATACTTAAAGTAGAGTGGGAGAAAACAGACTTGTGGGCCAGTGAGAGGGCTCAGCAGGTAAAGGTGCTTGCTGTCACATCTGCTGCCTGAGTTCAATCCCCAGAGTGCACACAGGAGAAAGAGGACACAAAAATAACATACAAAAGCCAGTAGCCTTCCTTTCTACCAGTAACAACCTTGCTGAGAAAGAAATCAGGGAAGGGAATCTCTTCACAACTGAAGAAAAACACTTAGAAAGAAACCTAACCAAGAATATGAAAGACTTGAAGGACCTCCCATGTTCAGGAATTGGGAATATGAATACTGTGAGAGGCTAAGCTGCCAAAGGCAACCTGCAGATGCAGTGTGAGCCCATGACAATGGTAGTGCCATTCTTCACAAAAGCAAAAGAGTCATCTTCAAATTCGCATGGAAGCACAAAGGACCCTGGGATAGCCAAAGTAGGCCTGACTGCATGCCTTGTCTTCTTGCTGCACTGTACAGCTATGAGCATGATATCAGCAAACCAGATCTGTGGAGTAAACGGGACCAGACATCAACCCACACAGCTGCAGCCACCCGATTTTTGAGAAAGATGCTAAAATACACCCTAGAGAAAAGACAGCCTTTTCATCAAACATTGATGGGGAAACTGGGTACCCACAGATGGAACAAAACTAGATCCCTACCTCTTACCCCATCTAAAAAAATAACTCCAACTGCTTCAGAAACCTTAATGTAAGTCCTTAAGCTGAAATTGTTGCAGGAAAAAAAAAAAAAAAAAAAAAAAAAAACCACTTCTAGAATCATAGGCAAGGACTTTCTGAACAGTATTTCAGTTGTTCAGGAAATAAGACCAACTACTGGCATATAGGACCTCATGCATTAAATTAGCACAGAAAAGGAAACCACCATGTGGAGAGACAGTTCCTGAATGAGAATATATTTGTTTGTCTGACAGGATTACTATCTAGAACATTCACAAAACTCAAAACTCTAAAGAAATACAACCACTCAAAATAAATGGGCTAGTGAACAGTTCTTCAAAGAAATTCAAACAGCCAGGTGCAGACACACAGATACACATAATTAAAAATAATTTTTAAAAAAGTACTTTAAAGCAAATTAAGCTACATTGAATTTTCATTTACCCTAGCCATTATGGCAGTCATGAAGAAAACAAAACAGTGGCAAGAGACTTCAGGGGACCTTGTGTCTAGGTGTTTCTGGGCTGCAGGTGCTTTGTGGTTTCATCACATTGTTAACAGGCCAAAATACCCTGACTGACAAGACCATAACCCTACAAGTGGAGCCCAGTGGCACCACCACGTGAAGGACAAGATCCAGGATAAAGAGGGCACCGCCCCCCACCCCCAGCAGCGACTCATCTTTGCAGGCAAGCAGCTGGAAGATGGCCACACTTTCTGATTACAACATCCAGAAAGAGTCACCCTGCACCTGGTCCTCCATCGGAGGGGTGGCTATTAACTCTTCAGTCTGCATTTCCAGTGGGCGATGATGGCACTACTCTGCACTATAGCCATTTGCCCCAAGTTAAGTCTAGAAATGACAAGTTTCAGTAATAGCTGAACCTCTGTTAAAAATGTTAATAGAAGTTTTGTTGCATGGTTAAAAGAGAAAAAAAAAAACGAGCAGAACTTGGGGGGAGGAGGAGGGTGTAAATGATGTTAATGCAGTACTCATTCTCCAAAAGAAAAATAAATGCTGGTACCATTGTGGACCAAAGGAACCCTTACATGATGCTGGTGGAATGTGAGCAGGTGCAGCCACCGTGGGGATGACTATGCAGGTTCCTCAGAAACCTGAAAATAGTCATCTCCTATTTTCAGCATCTCACAGGGGTACTTGAGAACCAATGTGTATTGCAGCACCAATCACAGTGTCTAATTACAGAACCAACCTAGGTGTCCAACAGCAGAGGAATGTGAGATATACATGTGTGTTCAGTCACAAAGAAGAATGAAGTTATGTTTTCAGCAAAATGGATGCAACCCGAGATAATGGTATAAATCAGGCCAGTCTCAGAATGGCAGATATTGTATGTTTCTCTCATCTGTTGTTTCTAGATTTTAGATGGATGTATAAAACCATGTGTGCATGGCATGAATGTAGAGTGAAAAATGTCTAGAGCAAAGGGGACTTCCAGGAAGACAGACAGAAATGGAAGATGAGAAGTAAGGTGGGGATGCTCAAGTACATTATATAATTGTATGAAAATGTTCTTATTTAATACCAGGCACAACTCATACATACAGTGATAAACTTTAAAGAAAAGGTACAAAAAAGAAAAAAGGCCGGGCGGTGGTGGCTCACGCCTTTAATCCCAGCACTCGGGAGGCAGAGGCAGGCAGATCTCTGTGAGTTCGAGGCCAGCCTGGTCTCCAAAGCGAGTTCCAGGAAAGGCG